AGTTCCCTTACTAGACTAATTTAACGGGACCTTATGTAAAACTGAGTCACATAAAACACATATACTAAATAACCTTTCCTAAAATGATGTAGACTTACAAAACCATGGGGATCATAGATTCAGGACGTCAAGATAGACACAAGGAATTACTACTCACCCAAAATGGTTTGGCTACAATCCCACTTCTAACACCAAGCTGAAAGGTAAATCTGCTAATCTGGTGACTCTGTCCCTCTGGTCACTATTCTCCAACCCTTGATTGTCAGCTGAATATTCAGGGAAGATTTTTATGGAAGCGTATTAACCAGACACACACTCTTTGCTTTCCATAATCTTCTGACAAATGTATTCAAAATGCTCTGTACTTATACAATATTTGGAACGAACATTGGTTACAGAAAGTTACACAAGATACATAAAAGAGGAAGTAGTTTCTGCTGTTACATTCAATAATCTAAACTTACAAAATATCACATATACATTGTGATTAGGCATTTCCTGATACATAGAAACTGTCATAGCTTGTGACTTCCTTTCAGTTATGTTTTGCAAGCAGTTCTGAAAAGAGCTTGCTACGACATTTACAAAATAATTCATTTCTACAATACTAACAGATTAACTGTCTCAATTCCTTCATATGCTTATGTTGACTTTCACAGCTATTGTTATTATTATTTCCCCATTTTATGTTCGAACATATAGAATCCCCCTCCCCCTCCACATAGACCCATGGAAGTTCTAGTAGCCCATCCTGGGAGGGCACAATAGTGATGTCTATATAGGCCATTTCACACGAAACAGCAATTGTAGTCTCCATCGTTCGAATCATAAACGCCCTACGGCTGGTGGGTTTGGGGGACTCGCCGTTCCCATAGGGGATGAAAGCCCCCTAACAAATGGCCTTGACCACCATATTTATTGTACAGCATATAAGCTTTGTTAACTTTTTTATTGTTAATGTTTTTGATGTACAGGACATGGTGCACTTAGGTCAAATCGAGTATCCTACAGGGGTCAATAACTACACTGAACAGAATGTATACAGGGTTTAGGTATGCAGGGTAATACGATACACCACTCCATATAACAGCAAAGCTAGGTGCAACTGCAAGCGGTGGTAGGCAGGATGCGGTCCTCTCTGTCGGTGCATAGTACCTGACATGGGGGATTGATCATGAATGCCACAGCCGGTTTGGGAGATACCCCGGGTGTGCGGAGGAGGAAGGAGAGCACACAATAATAAAAAAAGAAAAAGTTAGCCCTTCATTCTCCCCCAGTTTGGTTCCCCAAAAAATCCTCCATCCCCCCACAAAACAGGCAATAATTAGCATTTCCTAATTCCATTTATAGAGCAGTGCACGGATTACAAGAGCAAAAAGGCCTGTATCTCGCTCCAATAGTACAACTTAGAGAAACCCTGGTATTTGTCCTGCCTCCTTTGGCAGGTGCTCAGAGCATCCTGTCCACTAATTGATCTAGTGACAATTAATTTTTTAGTGCCTGTAGTAATAAAATTTTTTCTTTATTGTTACTCTTTCGTTCCTACTAGTCTATTCTTTTTCTCTTGGAGTGGCTATTATATTTGGGACCGAGGTGGGAAGCCCGTGCCTCCTTACCAACTTGCTTCCGGGAAAGGGGAGAGCAGAGGCTGGCTGCACTCTGCTCAGATGCCAACGCATCCTTAAGGGAAGGGGTAGCGGCGGCCGTATTCTTGCCCGCTACCGACTGACAAGACCATAACAGGTCACTGGGGTCAGCCTCCAAAAGAGTCAAAGGGGCCAACTATTCCACCTGCCGGGTGCCCATGGCGACCGGATTCCCATCCACGACACCCGCACTACCGGTGGGTATCCCTCCCGATAACTCACCCTGCCGCTGGGCAACGAGATCGGTTGTCTCCATTCCCTGGACTTCACACTGCCGCTGGGGAGGAAGGACAGAACCCTTCTCTCCCTGGACCTCACACTGTTGCTGGTGAACGAGACCGGTTGTCTCCATTCCCTGTAACACATTCTGCCGCTGGGGAGAGAGACCGACTGTCTCTTCTCCCTGGAACCCACACGTCCGATGGGGGGCAAGAACAACACACTTCTCCGCCAAGACTGTACACTGCCGCTGGGGCGGGGGTATCCCCCACCCCGTGCTTTCTCGCTTGCCAGTTCTGCTGTGTGCTGCAGGTACACGGCCACTATTTTCCCTGTGTGCTGTATAAACTTCTCAGCAAGGTTGGGCCCATAGTAGGCCACCAGCTTCTTGTCAAAATCTTCCTCACTGTAGCTGGTTCCTTTTGGCTTCAAAGTATGATCCCACCGCTTGCCACCAGTTGTAGCAGATCTCTGCGTAACCATACCTGTTACAAGGACTAAGAGCTTCCTTGACTGAGTGTTGTCCCTTCCTGGGAGCACATAGAGCTAAGTCCCCTAACCATGTAAGAGTTCCTGATCGGCTCAAGGAAGGGAACTAGTGGAGGTAACTAGTCTGGTTAACAACTAATATATTGCCTCTTAGATAGGGAGATCCCCAACGTGAGGATCTAAAACAATGCGGGCAAACAAGTGAGCATAAGTGTGGATGTTACTCAGTGATGGTGGTCCGTCACACATCTCCCCCTTGTTCATGCCCGACAGTCACAGCATGACCCACATGGGTCAGCTCGCTGCTGTCTGGAGTGGACACATAGTCTTTTAGTGACATGCCCACAACAGTACTTGTCCCTGACCCGCACCTACAGTCCTGGGGTATGGCCGGCGTTGCACCCTGCACCCTCCTGGGTACAGTGTGACTTAAACATAAAGGGCCTTGAGCCTGGGAGGCCATCAATTCCAGGCTCCGGTACTCAGGGATCTCGGAAACCCGTAGAACCCCCCACCCAAGCAAGTGGGATAACCCGATCCCCGGAGCCCGTATTAAGCTTGTATTGCAATTTACAGGAGACAATGAAGGTTAAATGCCACTGTAAATCCGTAAAACTGTACACTCTATGACTACATGTGCCTAATTATCTTTATAAATTAACATATTTGATGCTCAATAAAAATAAAATAAATAATGTGCTGACCATGAGCAGGAGCAGGAGCACAGTAGGAACATTATGATGGACCCCTGGTTTTATTTAATAGTCCTATCCACTGTCCATGAGTGGGGTTACGGGGTGGACAGTGATCTGTTCAACCCCCATTTTTTTGTCCCCATGGCTGAAGCATTGTCACAAAA